TCTACGCTCTCCTTCTCCATTTGGATCTCCTGAGATGATCTCTAGTGGTTCCCAATTTTTTTTCTCCAAATCTGTCTCCTCTTTCCTCTGAGCTCCAGGCTCACCCTCCAACTACCATCTCAAGCTCTCTCTATTCAAATGTGGAACAGGCATATCAAATTTAACACGTCCCTTCTAAACTCCACTTTGCTCATCTTGGTAGAGAACAATAGCTCAGCCAAAACCTGGACGTCATCCTTACTTCCTCTTCTTCCCTCATATCCCACCATCCAAACCACATGGCAACAGTCTCCCCTCACTAGTTCTTCCTAGTTCTGCTCCTTCCCCATATTCTCTACAGCACGCAGTGGCTCAATGATTTTTGTAAAATGTAAAACAGATCATGTCGCCCTCCTGCTCATTCTGATTCCAGTGGCTTCCCAACACATTTAAAACAAAACCAAAGACTGTACAGCATTGCCTTGGAAATCTACCAGATCTTTCATTTGCCCTCCCCTCCCCCTATTCAAGCCTCTCTAGTTCCACCAGCCTCCTAGCAGCTCTTCCTCACAAAGGCCATACTCACTCATGCCTCAGAGTTCTTTGAACCTGCAGTTCTCTTCCCCCAGCTATTCCTGGCACAGCTTACTTCTCAGAGAGGCCTTCCTTGATTATATCTAATTCTGTGCCTTCTCCTATTAACTTCCTATCTTCCTTATCATGCCTTATTTTTCTTCATAGCACTTATAGCATCTGATAGATATGAACTGTCTCTACTACTAGAATGTAAGGTCCCTGACAGTAGGGACTTGCTGATTTTAAGACACGAATTCTTAGAAATGTGGTTGGTATAAAGTAAACACATAGTGCAAATTGGAAGGAAGGAGAATCCTAAACACATCTGCTCTTCCATCAAGGCAAAGCCAACAATGAACTAAGAACAACTTTGCCTGTGATCTGTCTTGACCCTCTATGCCAGGGGTGTCCAATCTTTGGCTTCCCTGGGCCACGTTGGAAGAAGAAAAATTAGAGAGTCCTGCACTTCCCAGTACCACCACTGTGGGGGGCTAACTGCTACTTATCCTTTGGTGTCAAATGGAAAAATGTCTTCCTCAGGACGTTTTCTGACATCCTCCCTCTCATAGCTCAATTCTAAATTATGTTTGTTTAATGTACCTTTTAGAACATTATTCCATTTTTATTCATATCACATATTACATCCAAGGCCCAATAGAGATGTCGGGGTGTTCTGTCCTAGCTGACAACCTGCCATTGCTTTAGATCACTATTCTTTACATACTTGGCAAGGTTGAGGTTCTGCCTCACTAGAAGTCATTTTCACACTTCTCAGGAAGGAGTTTTAAAAAAAGTCTTTTCATGCCATTCTGTCCTTAGTCAAGTATCCCTGGTGGAAGTTTCACCCCACCCTTCCTTAAATCCTCCCCATCCCCTAAGCATCACAGTAAGTACAGGTCTTCTTAGAACATGACATCCTACATGAAAATACTTTGGTCAAATACAGCTTTCCCTATTTGTGATTATAATTAAACCCATTCCACTGGGCAACTCCCTGCTTGGTCTATTTTTAGTCCACCTCTGTCCACAATTATCAGCTATTTGTTTCTATGATTATCATGTGGAGTGTCAGTAGCTCTCATTACACTGTAAGCACTATGAGACAGAAACAACATCTGCTTTGTCCAACACTGTATCTTTGGTGTCAATAAAATGCCTGATAATGATAAATGGATAAAAAACAGCTGAAAGGATAAATCATTCAATTGACAGGACACATGAGCTTAGACACAGCCATGTGCCTTCACAGTCCTTCATGTAATGTGACATGTAGGGTAATCTATTTCTCCATCAGAGACCAGATACACTATACCAACTTTAAAAGTAACTAGCCAGTGAAATCATCTATGTTTAAGTGTTACATGTATTTTTATTATTAGTGCTTTGAAAATTCAACTTCCCTACTGTATTTTCCTTTGCTCATCCATACCAGAAACACACATCTTAAGTAGGAAGGGAAATGGGGGCTCCCTTTATTCTCAGCCTTCATTGCTGGCTCACTGCCTGGCTGCATACGTGCAAAACAAAGAATTGAGGAATTACTGAAACGCCCTTTCCTTTATTCATTCTGTGAGGTAGGCAGGCTTCCTCCTCTAGACAGTTTTACTATTACCTAATTAATCAGTTAAGCAATAAAAAAACTTATAAAATGCTATAGCAACATTTGTAGAATATGGTGATTATAAAAACTTAGTATAAACTAATAAAAATAGAAAATATGGGATGTCATCAGATAAGTTCTCATGTTAAACTCTCATCCCTTATAATCTATCATAGTAAAAACTTTGAGAAACAATTCCATACCAATGTCTTGAGACAGTTTTACTTTTTAAAATTCAACAAGTTTTTGTTCCTCCGTATTTGTTTTTATCAAAAAGAGAAAACTGTAAAAAAAATATTATTGATTTTGATATTTAGGGGAGAGATAATAAGTAATTTCAAGCATTATTGATAATTAATTGATGCTACATATTTATATGTTCTTAATTTTGCCAATAATTTTCTAGGCTAGATCATGTTATCCCCATTTAATCACTAATATAAATGAAGAATTAGTGAGATTAAATGACTTTCCCATTTACACAGCTGTCAGTGACAGAGCTAGGGTTCTAATGCATACATCCTTGATCCCAAATCCCATGTTCCTAGTGACCATAGCACAGTCCACAGGGTTTATGCTTTAAAAATTTTTAATTTTTTTTGAGATGGAGTTTTGTTCTTGTTACCCAGGCTGGAGTGCAATGGCACGATCTTGGCTCACTGCAACCTCCACCTCCTGGGTTCAAGCAATTCTCCCGTCTCAGCCTCCCGAGTAGCTGGAACTACAGGTGTGCGCCACTATGCCCAACTAATTTTTGTATTTTTAGTAGAGACGGGGTTTCACCATGTTGACCAGGATGGTCTTGATCTCTTGACCTCATGATCCACCCGCTTTGGCCTCCCAAAGTGCTGGGATTATAGGCGTGAGCCACCGCACCCAGTGCTTTAAATTTTTGTTATTGATATGAGAAAACTACTGAGTAAAGAATGCTGCATGAAAAAAATATATTCATGTAGAGAGCAAATTATAGCATAAGTCTTAAAAGTTCTACTACAATAATTCATTTTCCAGAAAATTAAATTTTAGCAATATATTATACTTTTAAAATAAAAATCCCACAAAATGATCATGGCAAACAAAAAAAAAATATTACTTTTGTTTCTTTCATTAGTGAATCAACATTGTATGAGAGGTCATGAGCAACATTAATATCTTTATCAACTTTATAATAAAGCAATTTTTATCTTATACAAAGATTGGGTTCTATTGTATACCCATATATAAAATGATATGCAAGTTTGCGTGTTTTGCTAAATTTTAATTCCTAATTCTTAAAAAATTTACAATCTTATTTCTAAATTGTAAAAGAAAATAAATATCTGATTTGGCCTGCAGTTATTACTATTCAAATTTAATCGGTTCAGTTCAGTCAGAAGTGTCAGCAATATCAAAGAGGGTTTGGCTCCCTAATTCCTCTTTTTCCTCCTCCTTTTCACTAGAGGATGGTGGGACTAGCTCCTGGCCCAATAGAGAACAAAAGAAAGAAATTATCAGGTAAGCAAGGAGTGTCTGCATCTCAGGTTTGCAGTCTAAAATGCCTGTATGCTCTGAATCATCACATTTTAACTTGGTTGAACTGGGAAGGTGAAATTTATTTCATGTGTGGTGAAAAAACTCACTGAAGATAAAACAATACCTTGCTAATGATGAATGCTCAATTTTGTAATTCATATCTGCAAAAATTGCTGTAAGTTCACAATCAAATGTTACTTCTATGTATTTATTCCCACCTTATACAAAAACCAAAACAACCACATCTACTAGCATTTTATGAGAAGGCAATGTTTTATGCACTCATCGATCATATTTTAATTACAGGCCTCAGTAGTAATACGGTGTCAAAGCAAAAAGTAATACAACATAAATCTTAATCCATCATTATTTCTAGGCTCTGAAGAAAAAATACATACCTATGTGTTTACTTTAAAAGGGAATGAGTCACTGATTATGGGCATTTTACATTTCTATTGAGGGGTAGCTTGTTTTTTAGATTCATAGGTAGTAAAGAAAGAAAAGACATCATGATGCTATTACAATTCATTCTAGTAAAATCTGGGGAAAAAAACTTAGAAGTAGAAAATAACTTCATGATCAGCTACATATCTGTCAAATTTAATTAAATATCTAGTAATTATTACACATAGTCAAGTGGCAAAGTATCTTGCTGCTTTCTAGACCCTAGAAGGGAATATTAATATTGCATCTTGAAATATTTCCAGTATATTGAGTCATCCTGTTCCTTAAAATGACTGAGCCTTATAATAAGTTAATAACACAAGCTACATGATACTATTACAGTCAAACCCCTGATTTTAGAATTATTTAATGGCAACTTAATTTATAGGTTACCCAAAAGTGAATGATTAGATTCCAGGCATTGCCAACTTCACAACATTTTATGTTATTACCACCTAAATAAATCCCAACTGAACAACTCAACAAAGAAATATCCTGATTTACCTAAAAAATTTATACTTTATAATCTATAATCTATACCTCATAAGCAATTATGTTAACCATAGATTGCCCTTTCCAACTGAGCACTTAAAGATGGTCATTTAAAAGCAAGTATTATTTTGCAAACTTAGATATCTGAATTCTGACCTTATGTGACCTATGGTAAATAAAAATACACTAAGCAAAACTGGCACACAGTTACATAAAGATAGAGTGAGTTCCCACTAAACTGTGCTCTCCTTGAAAACTGAACAGCTAGTGTCTCTGTGTTGCTCTACACAGAACTTCTTTAGATGTAGGGTTTGCATACAATGCAAAAATGTTCAATGCAAAAAATGAAGTCACCTCTAGTGCTGAAATCAATCAAGGCTTTGTCTATGTCTCTTACCTTTGCCATGGCCTCTCCCATCCTCCAAAAGCGGCACGACAATAGTGTTGTTCACATTTCCAGGTGACCTTACAGCTGTGTAGACAACAGGCACCGACTGTACCACCACGGGGATGCGGTGAACATGACTCAGTTTGTTAGATTGTAAATTCATGGGACTTGAAGGCGGTACAGGATGGATAATGTGCAAAAACTGCTGGCCTCCAACACCAGATGCAGAGGCAACAAGGGGCCCTGGAGTTAATACTGTTGACGAAGATGACGCTGAAGATACTGATGTGATAACGGTTGGGGATGAGGCTAGACGACTAGAAGACGATGAGGAGGTTGAAGTTGAAGAAGGTGAGGAGGCAGACGCTGTCATGGAAACTGGGGAGGATGAAACGGCAGTAGGGGACGTCCTGGCTTTGTTTATTGACAAGTCCACAGGCTCAGTTTGTGTTTGGAAGTGATCTACTGATAATGAGTCCTCCGGGGGCTCCCCTTTCACATTATTTAGCAACAGGGGAACGGCTTCCATATCGGGATAGTTGTGGACGTTTGGAGACTGTGGGGAGAAAAATGGAACATATATTTATGTTTGTTTATCACACATTTTATTGATGCATGGCTTACCACTTGAATGTTTATTAACTTTTCTCTTATTTTTATGGGATTTATTCATTCTCCAAATATCTGAAGGATTGCTCAGTGACAGTCACTGTGATTAAAACTGAGGGCACAAAAGTACAAGACAGAAGTCAAGGCCTCTACCACAAAGACATTTTCATTCTATTGTGACAGACCATTATTAAAATACTATGAAATCAGTGCTCAATGGGGGAGAAAAGAGGCCACAGGAATCTCTAGGACTCTGAGCCTTACTCAACACTATCACAATACGGAAACAGACCACCTGGCAACAAGAGTGGGAAAACCCACTATGACATTTCTATGTTCACACTTGGTGCAAGAGATACCATACCATATTCAGAATATTCTGCACATGAAAAAAAGGGCATAAAGTTCTTCACCCTCCAGTACCTGATCACTAATTTATTGAATGGAAGCCATTTTTAATAATTAGCTAATTCATAATGTATGACAAAATTTTTCTCAAAATAACATACACAACTACAAGTGACATTTTAGGAAATAAGAAAAACATTCTGAAATTTTAATTTGTCTATGAATTTTCATTTAATTTGAAATAATGATAATATTGTTAAAGTTCACTTGCATCCTTTTAAGTTTTAATGAGCAAAATTTGGTGATAACAGACCCCAAGATTTGTGATCAGCATGTTATTATTTGGCATGAATATAACTTTACATATATGTATACACACACACACACACACACACACACACTCATTCACTAATTTAACAAACGTTTATTAAATGTCTGCGTACAAGTCCCCAAATGGCATAAGAGTATTATTGGCAGTGCCGGTCTAGCCTAAAAAGACAGAATTAGACTATACTGATTATTTTGGTTATATCTGTTTGACCAGGTTAACATAGACATTATTTTTCTATTACATGAGGAACAAAAATTTTTTTTTACTTTTTTTATTTTTTCTTTTAAAGATGGGGTTTCACCATGATGGCTAGGCTGGTCTTGAACTCCTGACCTCAGGTGATCCACCCACCTCAGCCTCCCAAAGTGCTAGGATTACAGGCGTGAGCCACCACGCCCGGCTCCAAAAACTTTTTTTCACTTTTTCAGAATAATACCTAAAATGATATTAAATCGGTTCATTTTGTTTCTCATTTAAGAAAAGGTTCTGGTTTGCTATTCCCCCTAAAACTTCAGCATACATTAAAAATAAACAAAATATGCTTCTTAAAGCCTTTTTAAAATAGCATATAAATTACAGTTCCATTCAAAACAGAAAATAGACAGGAGTACAAGGGCATTTCACTCGGCAACTGAGAAAAGAAAAAATACCTCAAGAAAAAATACTTAAGTAATGGTACAAGATCAGCTAAAATGGGAAATGGGTTGATGTTTACATACTTTTTTCCTTTTTCTTAGCTGACATGGTTGCTTACCTACAAAAACATATGAATTAGAAAAAAAGTGAATCATCTAAAATATCTACTATATGAAATTCTAAATGAGAAGATTTTCAGTTTATGTGCTAACATTGAGATATAATTTTTTTTCTCTTCTCAAAGACATTTAAAAAGCAAATAAAAGAGGTGTGGGTCGAATAGGAGCAGCTAATAAAAGAGAAAGCTGAATAGAACAGCTCCGGTCTGCAGATCCCAGTGAGATCAACACAGAGGGTGGGTGATTTCTGCATTTCCAACTGAGGTACCTGGCCCATCTCACTGGGACTGGTTAGAGAGTGGGTGCAGCCCACGGAGGGGGGACCAAAGCAGGGTGGGGTGTTGCCTCACCCAGGAAGCGCAAGAGATCGGGGAACTCCCTCCCCTAGCCAAGGGAAGCAGTGAGGGACGGTTCTGTGAGGAAGATTGCATTCTGGCCCTATGCTTTTCCCATGATATTTGCAACCTGCAGACCAGGAGATTCCCTTGGGTGCCTACACCAGCAGGGCCCTGGATTTCGAGCACAAAACTGGCCAGCCATTTGGGCAGACACCAAGCTAGCTGCAGGAGTTTTGTTTTCATAACCCAGTGTCACCTGGAACAACAGTGAGACAGAATTGTAAAAGGGGGCTGAAGCCAGGGAGCCAAGTTCTAGTTCAGTGGATCCCACCCCTATGGAGCCCAGCAAGGTAACATCCACTGGCTTGAAATTCTCGCTTCCAGAACAGCAGTCTGAAGTCAACCTGGGAGCTCAAGCTTGGAGTGGGGAGAGGTGTCCGCCATTACTGAGGCCAATGTAAACAAAGTCTTCGGGAAGTTCAAACTGGGTAGAGCCCACCACAGCTCGGCAAAGCTGCTGTAACCAGATTGGCTCTCTAGATTTTTCCTCTCTGGACAGAGCATCTCTGAAAAAAAAAAAAAAAAAGGCAGCAGCCACAGTGAGGGGCTTACAGATAAAACTCCCATCTCCCTGGGACAGGGCATCAGGGGAAAGAAATAACTATGGACACAATTTCAGTAGACTTAAATGTCCCTGCTTGCTGACTCTGAAGAGAGCAGTGGATCTCCCAGGACAATGCTTGAGCTCTGCTAAGGGACAGACTGTCTCCTCAAGTGGGTCCCTGACCCGCATGCCTCCTGACTGGGAGACACCTTCCAGTAGAGGTCAACAGACATCTCATACAAGTGAGCTTCAGCTGTCATCTGGTGGATGCCCCTCTGGGATGATGCTTCCAGAGGAAGAAACAGGTAGCAATCTTTGCTGTTCTGCAGACTCTGCTGGTGTTACCCAGGCAAACAGGGTCTGGAGTGGACCTCCAGCAAACTCCAGCAGACCTGCAGCAGAAGGACCTGACTGTTAGAAGGAAAACTAACAAACAGGAATAGCATCAACATCAAGAAAGAGGACATCCACTCAGAGATGCCATCTGAAGGTCACCAACATCAAAGACCAAAGGCAGATAAATCCACAAAGATGAGGAAAAACTAGTGCAAAAAGGTTGAAAATTCCAAAAACCAGAATGTCTCTTCTCCTCCAAAGGATCACACTTCCTCGTCAGCAAGGGAATAAAACACGACAGAGAATGAGTTTGACAAATTGACAGAAGTAGGCTTCAGAAGGTGGATAATAACAAAGTCCTCCAAGCTAAAGAAGCATGTTCTAGCCCAAAGCAAGGAAGGTAAGAAGCTTGAAAAAAGGTTAGAGGAATTGCTAACTAGAATAACCATTTTAGAGAAGAACTTAAATGATCTGATGGAGCCAAAAAACACAGCATGAGAACTTCAGGAAGCATACACAAATATCAATATGTGAATCAATCAAGTGGAAGAAAGGATATCAGAGACTGAAGATCAACTTAATGAAATAAAGCATGAAGGCAAGATTAGAGAAACAGGAATGAAAAGGAATGAACAAATATAAGACTCTGTGAAATGACCTAATCTACGTTTGATTAGTGTACCCGAAAGTGACGGGGAGAATGGAACCAAGTTGGAAAACACTCTTCAGAATATTATCCAGGAGAACTTCCCCAACCTAGCAAGACAGGCCAACATCCAAATTCAGGAAATACAGAGAACACCACAAAGATAGTCCTAGAGAAGAACAACTCCAAGACACAAAATCATCAGATTTGCCAAGGTTGAAATGAAGGAAAAAATGTTAAGGGCAGTCAGACAGAAAGGTTGAGTTACCCACAGAAATTTCAGCAGTTCTCTCTGCAGAAACCCTACAAGCCAACAGAGTGGGTGAGGGGGGCAATATTTAAAATTCTTAAAGAAAAGAATTTTCAATCAAGAATTTCATATCCAGCCAACCTAAGCTTCATAAGCAAAGGAGAAATAAAATACCTGACTTCAAAGTATACTACAAAGCTACGGTAACCAAAACAGCATAGAACTGGTACCAAAACAGATATATGGACCAACAGAACAGAACAGAGGCCTCAGAAATAATGCCACACATCTACAACCATCTGATCTTTGACAAACCTGACAAAAACAAACAATGGGGGAAAGGATTCTGTATTTAATAAATGGTGTTGGGAAAACTGGCTAGCCATATGCAGAAAACTGAAACTGGACCCCTTTTTTACACCTTATATAGAAATTAACTCAAGATGGATTCAAGACTTAAATGTAAGATCTAAAACCATAAAAACCCTAAAGAAAACCTAGGTAATACCATTCAGGACATAGACATGGGCAAAGACTGCATGACTAAAACACCAAAAGCAATGGCAAGAAAAGCCAAAATTGACAAATGGGATCTAATTAAACTAAAGAGCTTCAGTACAGCAAAAGAAACTATCATCAGAGTAAACAGGCAACTGACAGAATGGGAGAAAATTTTTGCAATCTATCCATCTGACAAATGGCTAATACCCAGAATCTACAAAGAACTTAAACAAGTTTACAAGAAAAAAAGCAAAAAAAAACCATCAAAAAGTGGGTGAAGGATATGAACAGATATTTCTCAAAAAGAAGACATTTATGCGGCCAAGAAACATATGAAAGAAAGCTCATCATCACTGGTCATTAGAGAAATGCAAATCAAAACCACAATGAGATACCATCTCGAGTTAGAATGGTGATCATTAAAATGTCAGGAAACAAAAGATGCTGGAGAGGATGTGGAGAAGTAGGAACATTTTTACACTGTGGGTGGGAGTGTAAATTAGTTCAACCATTGAGGAAGACAGGGTGGAGATTCCTCAAGAATCTAGAAAAAGAAATACCATTTGACCCAGCAATCCGATTACTGAGTATATATACAAAGGACTACAAATCATTCTACTATAAAGAAACATGCATACACATGTTCACTGCAGCACTATTCACAATAGCAAAGATTTGGAACCAACCCAAATGCCCATCAATGACAGACTGGATAAAGAAAATGTGGCACATACACACCATGGAATACTATGTAGCCATAAAAAAGGATGAATTCATGTCCTTTGCAGGAACATGGACGAAGCTGGAAACCATCACTCTCAGCAAATTAACACAGAAA